ATGAACCGCATTGCCACAGGGCAAGGACAATTCAGTTTGTGACCTGATGACAGCTTTCCGCTGCATCCAGAGGAAAACTGGGTGTTAAAAGAAGACCTGCAGGGAGACTGTGGACACCACGCACCATTGTAGGAACAGGTTCAGGGTGTAAGAGATGTATCTTCTTTTGTTGACAAGCTGATTGTAAACTTCAAATGTTTTGATAGCTTCAGTCTTGGACAGCAGCTCAACCTGTTCATTCAGAACCCATTCCTCCTCGCAGATGTCAGTAAGTCCTCAAAGGAAGTCACACAGCATTTCAAGTGGGCAAATGCTGGGCCTCTCCAGATGCAACCGGTCTGTCTCCAAGCAGATGTTGCCCTGAAAGAGCTTTTTGGAGGAACTGACCCTGCCACTTTGTGGTTCCAAATGGTATGAGATAGAGCTTTCACAGGTCTGGGGAAAGTGACCCTGTACACATTGAGGATATTTGGCTGTACAAATACAAAATTCTGAAAATGTGATGCTACATATTTTTCTCAGGTACCATAGTCGTAGGTACTGGAGATGTAATTCTTCCAGGGATGACGAGGGCAGTATAATAACTCTACAAGTGTCCTAGTCTAAAGAAGGCTGGCACAATAAACAGCAACAGCACATGGAATGGCAGCAGCTAGTGCAGGTGTAGCAACAGCTCCAACGCAAGTTGTGAAAAGAGAGAAAAAAAAAAAAGAGTGGTGTATGGAGATATTTTGTATTTGACGCGGATCAGCAGGGACAAGTGTCAGAGCATTTCAAATGGAGGAAAGGAAACAGGAGAAAACACCTCAAACTTATCTAAGCAGCTCCAAGACAGACATCTGGATCTGTACACAGAATTCAGGGTGAGTGAGTTTCAGCTGTTAATTTTATATTAGCAACATGTCGTCAACATGTTCATGTCCTGAAGTGTTAAAGTTATTGCTTGTGCATTGCAACAGCTGGTATCTGTTGTAGCAAAGATCTACTCAGAACATTTACAAAGGCTAACATTACCTTGTTTAGGCTGACACAGGCACAGCTCATAACATACTTATGACATTAGTAGTAGACTACTGTCAAAATATGACACTGACTTTTTTCACACTATTGTCTTGTTAGTCAATTTAAACTACTGCTTGCACACTATGTGTTTGTTTGTGCATGTATACACATACTTGTGTTAGCACAATGTATGCAGCAGCCTCAGTTGTTCTCTGTGGTATTGAATTTGATATTGAAAATCATGGAATTTCATTGGTATCAGAGCAAATTTCTGGGAATGTGACATCCTTAGTTTTCTAAATTGAAACACTTTTGACAAGCACTCACTTACTTTACTTAAAATGAAAAAATAACCACTATTTATTATTAGAGTACTTATCTATAATCCCTCCAGTTCTATGTGAAGACTAATAACAAATATTGTAGAAATATTATTGAACTGTAGTTGTTTTTTTTTTTAATTTGATTTTTGACAGCTGGTTGTTGACTACATACAGATATTGATACAACTACTAGGCTACTTCAATATGCATGGCACTGAATCATAACACGAGTGAGACATTATGATGTTCCAGACCTTTGCTTGAGGAAATTTTCTGACTGGATCTCTTTGAATGTTAATTGAATATCAGTGCAGTCAAGCATCTCGGGACTGAGTGTCTTTGGCTGAAGATTACTTTTACAGTGGTGACTGAAGGGAGATCGACCGCCTTCTGTTATTCACTTACGACCAAATTCTTCACATTGTCAGACACCTCTGTTGCCAAAGTTGGTTCAAAACATTCAGTAAGTCAGTTACTAATTCAATTCTGCTAATAACTCAGTAATTCAATTCAATATAGCACTGTGAAACATTTGGGTAAAATAACAGTCAATTAAATAGTGAGGCATCATGTTCACTAGACGACTGTTAAAGCTTGTTTGCTTTTCGGCTGACATAATTACTTCCCTGACTATGTGCTCTGTGCCCTGTATATGTGGAAACACTGGAGTCATGATAAGAAAGAGAAAATGTAAGCTTGGGCTTGTGTGACTAAATGAATTAATACTCAATGTCTGCAATTGATAGCATCAACAGCTGAGAGTAAACATGACAAAAGTGTAGCTAACAGAAACTTGACTGCCCTGTCTGACAGAATGGAAAAAGGCAGCACAACCATCTCTAAATGTGCTGTTGCCACCTAATGGACAACTGCTTCTGCACAGTTAGATGGATCAAAGTGCAAATGTGAATCCGATTTTTACACTGATTATTTTTACAAAGAACTGTAGTTATTGTTACGCTGGCAGCCTGTGACAGTGATCTCAAAAAAGAGGGTGAGGGCATAGAGCACATGCAAGCTAACAAAGCACTAAGACCCCAGATTAACCCGAGGATCAAGATGATTAGCGCACAGTGCAACATTCTTATTTGAGGAAATTAAAGCTATTTTCACCTCTGCGAGATTAATTAGTGTGACATTAAAGGGATGCTACTCAGCTTTCCATATAAGAACACTGGAAAGTGCTGAGCGGCACCACTAATACTCTGCATGAGTCTGAGTCAAAAGCCCACCAAGGATAGACTATTCATTTGAAGAAGTCCCAAAGGTCTGCGCCAAAACACAATCAAATTAAGACGCCTCCACATAAATAAAACAATGTTGTTTCAGCAGCCTTTGCTGTACAGTAAAGACACATCTTTGTTCAGCAGAGGGAGAAAAAGGTTTGGGTTCTTCTGTGCAAAATTAAAAAATAATCATCAAAAGACTTATTCAGAGTTTAATTGATTTGCTTCCTTGTTCTGTTCTTTCACAATTCACATCTTGGCTGACAGAACAATTATTAAAGAAACATTTTTTGTGGACTACTACCATCCTGAAATTCTGCTTCCTGAAGCTCATCACCAACACAACAAAACACACATTATGTATTCAACAGCTAGCAGTCTTCCAGCGTAAACACACAGTGACAACTTACTTCACTTCACTACGTATCATCTCTGTAATGCAGCCTTAAAATAAAGATAAATTACTAAGAGGACTGCTCTCTCCATTCTCTTCACAGCATGAAGCTGGCTTTGTTAAGGCTCTCCGACATGCTGCATAACTATCTTGTCTTCACCATGGTCCTCACTTGGATTAACTTGGATTGAGAGTAATGAATCAGGTCTGGCCTCCTTTCATCTGTGACTTTAAAATGGTCATTAGTGGATGGTTGCAAACCTGCAGGAACCCATTGTCCATAGAAGACCCACATGGGCCAACCCTTCTTCTTCGGTGTATAAACCAATACAAGGATTTAAGGATCATTATCCCTAGCTGTCCAACTGAGAAGTGAATGGAGAAGGTGCGGAACAACCTTCTGTCATTAAGCAGAAAAGAGCAGAGGAAGTGTGAAAAGCCTATGCTACAGCAGGGATGTGCAAACTGATTCAGGACTTAATGGTGTTCAGGTAGAAGAGGGCAGAAGACCCTGGACTGGTCCTGATAATACAACATTTTCTATCACTACAGAAATATAAAATAATCCCATTACAAAAAAGGTAAGAGCAGTTCAGTTCAGTTGTTGGCATTCTGAGAAATGACATATTTAGATAAGCCAGAGGCTAGTGCTAAAGCTATCATCAGGAAATTACCATAAACCAAGACATCTGATTAAAGAGGCACATTTGAGCGTATTTTGTGATTTGCTTCTTTCTCGCCTGCAAAGTGGAGTCACATTTCACTGCTCTGATTATGCAGATCAGGTTCTCTGATCAAGTATAAATACTCACAGCCACATTTGTCAAAAGGCAGGAGAAAAGACTGCACTGGACTTGTCACAAAATAACTTCTAACTGTTTACCGTCTTTTATTTAGCAGTGCAGAGCAGGCACACTGGTACTGGGAGGTAAATAAATGAAACCCTTTGAATAGAATCAATTAGATCTTCACTCTCAAATACAGACAATCTTGAAAAAGACATTTGCCTTCATGTCAGGGAGGAGGGCTAGACACAGCCTGCCTGAGTAGGCTCTCTAAGGAGGACGGATCAATCAGTGTGCCACATTGCTGGAGTGAGGTTAAGTACACCACACTGTCCAGGTGATGTCTTTGTTAAAATATAGACAAAAGAAATAACAAAAATGCCTTTTACCCACACCTCTGGCACAGAGAAATTCAATACATACTGTGCAAACTTATTTCTGGTCATGCTATACACCAGGGAGAAGAAATAATTGAGGAAATGAAGAATCGAGGAACTGGCAAGGGAGTCAAAAGAAAAGATGAAAGCTTGAGTCTTAAATGTTTCTCTATTCATTTGCAAGAAAAGCCAACGGAAAATCTTCAAGGAATAGAGTCACATGTCTTAATTGTGTTAGTGTACCAAATACAAGTCTGCACGTAGCAGTGGTACTTCTAATAAATTCAACTGTCGTGCAGCACACATGACTACATGTACACAGGTTACCACTCTGATTTTAAAGATAAATATCTTAGTTAATTTCCACATAATCCTTTGTGTTCAAGGGAAAAAAACATGAAATAACATATGTAAACATTGCACAACAACACACACACCAAGATAAAAGAAACGCTACAATCAACATAATCGCGCAGAAATGAGTCTGGATTTCATTTCATCTAGAAAGGCGATTAGAGGAGTAAAAAACGCATTTCCACAGATTAAGTATGATTTCCATTTATATGTAATGCTTCATTGAAGCACCCCCACCCCACATTGTGGCTAATGGGGGAAAGCTAATCTTGATAATGAGAATCAGAGCATGCACTCTCACAACTTGGGAAATGGAAACCCAGGGTTTAAATCCTTTGAGTTCTTCAATTTCCAACATTAATACTTGTGTGTGAGAGGTTGGCTTCCATGGGGTGAAATAAACAAGAAAAAGACCTCTGGCATTAAATGTATACCCATGTTTTATACCTACTGTAAAAGCACTTCGTCATGAGTATACAATTGCTAGGACATAAGCAATTTTCTGCACTGCATTATCTATGAACCTCAGGTTCACTTACCAGCCTCTGAGCTTATATGCCTCAGGGATGTCTGGGTTGATCATCAGGGTGCTGCTGAAGGATGCAGAGAGCGACCGGCCTCCAAAGTCTGAAAGCTTCGCCCCCTTAATGGCTACAATGGGCTGTCCAGAGCCATCAAACTTTTCTGCCTACACAAAGAAACAGATAATGACAAATGGCGCATAATGATTAAAACTTTGTTGTTATTTGTATTTGTCTGGATTGAATTTCTGTTTCTTTGTTTAGCAAGTTATGTGTTGGTACTTTGTATAGGAAAATTAAGAATTTATAGCCATGCTAGTGTTGCTGTTAGGTTGTCCTTAGGCACAGCAGTGCAAAATGCTAACATGTTCATAATGGCAATAACTAACAATAATTAACAGGTATAATGTTAAGCATTCAACCTTTGGGAGGCCTGGGTATCTGCACCAGATTTCATTGGATTTGATCCAACCTCATGAAAAAAAGTCTAAGATTCATCATTTGGGGACACCTGTACAAAGTTTAATCTTGATCCATTTAATAGATATTAAAGGACCAGTATGTACCATTTAGTGGCATCTAGTGGTGAGGTTGCAGATTGCAACCAACTGAATAACCCTCCCTCACCCCTAATTTTTCAAGCATGTATAGAAGAACCTACAGTGGCCTTATAGTAAAGTAAAAACATGAAAGGCCCTCTAAAGAGCCTGTGTCTCATTTGTCTATTCTGGGCTACGGTAGAACAATGCCGGGCTCCATGGGAGGGGACCCACTCCCTATTTCGATAGAAAGGGCTCTTTCTAAAAACACAAAAACACAACGATTCGTAGTTACAGGTGATTATACACTAATGAAAACATAATTTTGAATATTATATTCCACTTCTGCCAATAGATCCCCCTAAATCCTACATACTGACCCTTTAAGATATTTCAGTCTAAAAAAAGCGGTGAACTGCCTGACCAAAAGACAGGCTGACATCCCTAGAACCACAATGTGTTTAAAAAACACTAACTTCTAACAAAGATAAAAGTATGAGCACATTTATTAGTTCAGTTCCAGGATTAGTGTACAATATTTTTTGTTTACTTGATTCTCAGTTTCATAGTTTTTCAGAGCTATTTACTATAATAACCTGAGGACACCAACTGGGGGGGGGGGGGGGGGGCAACAGTAGAGCCTTCAGGGACATGGAAACTATCTCCAACACTTGCTGTTTGGCATTGCCATTGTTCTTTGTAAAATATACATCTTGTGTACCTCAGCATGTCCCTCTGGAAAAGGGGTATCTGTCGAACAAACAAACTGGGAACACTGTGCTTCTTGTCAGGAGGAAAGAAATGGTGGCAAACTCAGCACAGTCCCTCTGAGCCACAGGTAAAAATCAACTGCAGGAGCACAGTTACTTCATCACCCCATGACAGGGAATTTAGTCAACGATATCTGCCTCCATAAAATACTGCACACATTGTTAACAGTCTTTGGTTCTGAAACTGCTGAACAGTGATCAGCAAATGTGTTGAACAACCCTTTTAATTAAAATACCTGTCTGATACAGTATCAACAAAAACTGAAGATAAGTTTCAAACAGGTAGCATTTATTACAGGCCTTTTGTACTGCAGGTGCTCATGTCATTGTGCTCATCCCCTGAATGTATCCTTTAGCTTTAGTTCAGCTTCAACCATTCAAGACTAAATGGCCTTAGAATCTCATACACCAAATGAAAAAGGTCTTAAGGGTCTGACAGTTTCAAAGATTGTCTCGATGGCAGTGACTGTGGTGATTATTAACATTTGAAAAGACAAGTGTTCTGACAAGAAATCTTAACCCTTACAATAGGCATGTCCTTGCATTATAAGGCTGGCATTGATTTCCATTAGCCAATTAAAAAGCTCCAGACACAACACCGCAGCCCCATTATGCATTTTCCTCCCCATCTAATGTCTATACTCACTTCCTCTCCCCACAGCGTGACAGTCACCACCTTCCCAGACATGTCCATCAGGTTGAGTGTCCTCTTTGACACTTCTCTGTTGGTCTTTGTTGTGAGGCGGGTCACCTCTTCAACGCTCTTGCAAACTCCAATCACATCTGTAATGAAAAACAAAACAATGTTCCACATTAGCAGCAGACACTGGCTTGAATGATTCACATTGTAAAGTCACATCTTGTATTTAATATTATCAAAAGAAATACCTGAACCAAATATGATTTAATTTTGCTGGCTAACTGACTGTACCCACATATTCATATCATTAATATTGATTGTGGTGTTTACACCCACAGGTCACTCTAGGTCCCATAGTTTCCAGCACAAATTGGCTCTTGGGAAATAAGTAATTCATTCATTTCATACAGGTCACTGCCCTGTATACCAGGCACTTACATCCATAATGTAGGAGAGAATCTATGAAATAGGCTTTAATTATTTCTACAAACACATTTAATCATGCACACTACATTGACTAATGTAATCAAGCACAATAGATGGGGACGGAACCATCTATTTGGAAAGGTGCAAGAGTGGCATCACCAACAATGCTCATCATGTGGAAACCCCCACCCACACTGAGTAAAGGGACTTTCAATGTATTCAACCGTGAAGAAAAATACTCAAGGTTTGTTGCTGACTGGTGTGCGGGACAGAAATTACTCAAACAGCAGTCTTCATTAAAAGAATTACAAAAGGCTCCTTATTATTACTTCAATTTACCTGTGACAGCAGGTTCTCATTTTGTCATCGGCTCTGCCATAGGGCCCAAAGTCAATCTGCACTACAGGCTATTACTGTCATCAGTATTATTAATACCACTTTTATCTCTCTGCTCCTATACTGTAATTACTTCAACCTCCCAGCACATCCGGCTCTACTTCCCGCTACAAACTCTATCCTCTGCTTATGATAGCTTATTACTGAGTGCTTGGGAACACCTCATTAGGAGGTGGGCTATAACATATCAGTTGGTTGGTTTATGCTTGTAGTTTGATGCACGGTGCATTCACTGACGGGCAATGACGTAATCGCTCCCCTATGCACTGTGCAACAAAACTCTGCTCTCTGTACATTTGTTTAGGGCACAGCATAGATAAGACAACATCAAAACTAATGTCTCATAAAAATGAGTTAGCAAACGTTGCCACCATTCAAACTGAACAAGCAGCTCATATTAAACGGATCATCCCACTACAACAATGCAGCATAGGAACAAACTTAGCCTCAAGCTCTTTCCTGAAAGGGTTTACACGACCTGATTCTGAGTAATAAACATGAGAAAGTCTAGAGTAGGGCTTGGTTGGTTTCTCAATAGCAAAACTCAAATTCTCAAGTAATGCAAATTATTCTCACATATTTGTTGGAAAAACAATGCCAATTCACCACCTTGTCTTTAATTTCTAAGTGCTCTATTAAAAAGGAAATATATCAGAGCTTAGTGCTAACCAGCTTCTCACATACAATATTTTATAGTGTAAGATAAGACTTTGTTAAGGAGGTGGAGCAGGTTTGGAGAAATAACGGGCTACAAACACAAGGAATTAAGGCCCATTAAAAAACAAAAAACTGGCTCAAGAGGCAACAAGCTGAATAGGGACGAACATATCCAATGTTTTTCTTCCTCCACCATATATCTATACTTGGTAGAACTGTAGGCTAGCTTAATTTAACATCTGACATAGGCTGTTTTTAAATGTTTTATTAAGCCATTCTCTTTGTTACATTGTACTTAAAGGATTTAAAGTCTACAGTTTCCCTCATTCATTCCAACCACTAAATATCAACAAGCAGCTGTAATAATTATCAACAGCAAAGAACTTGTGTTGAGAGATCAGCAACCTAAAAAACAAAACAAAACTTGAACTGTGGCGATACTAATTTTCTAATAAAGACATCAGATTTGAGCTTGACTCTGCACATTTTTTGCTGATTAAATTTCAGGGTTTTATTTTTGACAGTATGCCATGTCTATGTATATGCAGTCAGAGCTGAAGGCTGTTTAGTACTTGAATTTCAAAGTACAGTCTGGAAAAGTGAGAAAAAAAATTGTACAGCTGTCTGATGTGATTTAATAACACAGGTTGGGCTCTGAGATGGCTGTGCAGATCATTACTTCTGCTCCTTACCAACGACAGCATCTTTGTCTCTGTTCTCCAGGTCACCAATAGAGATGAAGTCGCACTGCACCATGGGAACATCACTGCTGTCTTCACAGGGGATGACTGAGGACTCTCCATTGAGCGTCATCTCATAGTCATTCTTCACTGATGTGTACTGTTTGTTGGCGATCTTCAGGGAGCATTTGGAGATGTAGTAGACCTGGCCCATACAGATGGATGAACCACGTGTTAATCAGAGATCTGGGGGAGCATTTCACCTGACTGAATGGTGCAAACAAGATACGACTTCAGACAGTCAGAGGGGATCAACAAAGGCTGGCAGATGATCATAAGCCGCTTATTGTATGGGTACAGTGCAGCCAGATGACTCATTCATAGTCTCTGAGGTTTTAACTCACAAAGTACTGGCAGCTGTTGATAGAACAGTCTGCGGCCAAATCTGTCTTTAACAGCACAGTGAAAGAAAGTTTTGGCAGATAATTAGGACACCATAAATCATTATCTGGAGGAACATCTCACCTTGCCAACCTCAATTAGGCTGTAGAACTTGTCCACCTCTTGGTTGAAGCCAGTCACTCGTATCTCTCCCTGTCATCAAATAAAACATTGTGGTTAATATCAAAAGTAGGTCAGGCACAGTACAGGATTTCAAGGATCTCATAGTTTATTTACATAAATAAACAATGGGACCACATTAACACTCACACTCTCATCCACAATCTCCATGGAGAAGAGTTTGCCATCACCACGAGAGTTGCTCCATGTACGGATGGTGCTCTTGTTGGTTACACGAGCACGGATGGTCCACCTACCACGAGACGAGGCTGAATTTAGTCACATCAGTGAATGGACCCAAAGTTAAACCTACACATATGCATCCATTTATTCAATCATTGACTCTTTATTCACAAACTCAGCCTTTAACAATCTGCCCCCTAGCGGCCCTCTGGATGCATGGCAATGTGTAAGGACAATACTAAACCTGTAAACCTTGCCTCCTCTGCAATAGGCTTCTCAGGGACATTTGGATTATTCCAAATGAAATGAAATGAAAATGAGAAAAGCACAGGTGTAGCCAAGGACATTAACAATAGCTGTTACATTTAGGTAGCCAGTAAGTCAGCAGTATGAGTCCTGCACTGGCATTCCTCAATAGAAAATAGTCATTAGTAATGTTATCAGTAATACCTGTGTTTGGCCATTCAACATGTCCTCTGTGAGAAAGGCCTATACAATTGAGCTGGGCAGGGTGGTTCAGGTTGTGACATTTGTGTTTAAAACATAAACAATAGTATCAATTTCACTGTAGATATTCCATTTTAAGGAATTTCACCTTTCAAAAACTCACTATACACAATCTGATAATGATATATCAGAGTTATGACCTTGATCTGTACTAAGCAGGACATTTGCATTTTGTAGGACAGTTTAACTTTGAAAAATAAAATTTCAATGCTCACTAGTTGATTCTAGTAACTAAACTAACAAACTATGTAGGCACAATCTTTCACATTTCTCTTCTGCAATCGCTTTTTACTTATAGGGCAACATATTGACCAATACGGATATGTCAGAAATAAGATAGTACTATCTGATATCAGAGATTTAAAGATGTGGTTTATACAGATTATGTTAATATTTCCACTGCTACTTCCAATATAACAGAATCCCTTATGACAAAACAAACTAAAGCTTTACAAGGGCCAAAGTTGTAACTGTGGCAGGGCTATTGTATAGAACTGCATTCAATTATATAGGTGTTCATGTTATTGTGCCTACCCCGTTATCTTCAACATCTACATTCAACGTTCAACACTTCACATTGTCTTACTGGTGTTAAGTATGTTGTTGCATTTATTTTATTTTATTATACATGTATGCAGTAATGTTTTTACAGTTCCAAAGACGATAAAATATACAACGTTTTGACACGACATTACATTTCCAACTGACTGGAAAACATACTCACTTGGACTGGTAGGGGTTGAGGCTGGCAATGGGCACAACTTTGGCGCTTCCCCCTGGAGTACTGGGGATAGCAGATGGGGGCTTCTTTCCAAAGTCTCTACTGAAACCTCTGTTCACTGTTGGAGGAATGAAGAGAGAAATAAATGATCCATGAAGAGCAGTGATGGAGAGGAGTCAAGAGAGAGGCACATACATTATTCATCAGAGACGAATTACAAAAATCCAATTTCTTTGGATTGCAACTGTGATCACTGTAATTATCTCACTTCATGAGGGAAGTTTCAAAGAAAAACCTAATGACATAAAGTAAATTCATCACCGTCGAGACAAGCAAGAGGAAAGACTCAAACAGGAAACAAAAATCTTGACAAACCAACTTGCTGGAGATGTGTGATCCAGCATTTTGGTAAGAAAGATGATACACATTTCACAGAATCAGGGCAGAGTGTGAAATGCTATAACAAACTGGAGCTGCTCTTCCCCCGGAGAGCGGTGCTGCCTGACTTTGAGATTTTCCGTTTGAACAAGCGCTGCACATTTGATTTGTGTGCGTCTCACGCGGAGGATTAGAGTTCAAAGTGTCCACTTAAGTCCTCCCACTTTGCCAACCACTGCACTTCTGGTAATTAAGCCCCCAGATCAAGCGGCACACACAGAGAAATGAACAATGACTGTGCTGATGAGGAGGGTGCTTGCCACAACCTCAATTCCCACACGGCAGATTAGAGGGATGAATACCTGCTATGACAGACACAAGAAGACAGCAAAACCCTTCTGACAGCCGGATTGCACATCTCTTCTGGTCCAAGTTATTTGCTATGCCGAGATCCACTGTTTATCTCTGACATGAACAAGTGCCAGTGTTTCAAAAAATAATCTGTTTGTAATATACAATCTCCTCGTAGCCTGTGTTGCTCTGTATTTGCTCATTTGTGTATTTTACTGTGCATCCAAAAAAAAAGATAAAAAATGATCGCCATGCACAGGCAGAGAAAGCCACCTATCAACACAGGCTCATAGTTGTTACAGTTTATGATCTCAAGCATTCACATGTAAAGGACGAGCTCTGAAGAATTGTGAGGGTCAATAATGCAGAGAAAAAAACTCTTGAGAAAGGCATGAGAAAGCTAAAAATGAACGTGTTTCTCAACAGGGATGTCAAAATTACTTGTGTCCTGTAAATCTGAGGGTCACCTAAATGGTAAAAAAGCAGTAGGGAAATGCTGCCATCTGGTGGAGTTTTTATGTACTTTTTCTGTATAGTGTTTTTCCACAAAAATGTGAATTCTGAACATTTTCACCCATTTTAATTCAAATAAAAACTCACCTTCATTTCTATTCTGCGGGTGCAATGGAGGGCGGCTTTCGGGGTTTGGAGCTGACTGCGGGCCTTTAGTGTGACCTACAAGAAAGATTTGACATTAGTATTGGCCTGCAAAGACACTAAAACCTAACGTGTATGACTGATGTATATCTAAATACCAATATCACCTCATAAACCTATTCACTGAGCACTACCTCAAGACAAACATCAATTATTGTGCAAGTAGCAAATATTACAAACTGTGCTTTGAAGCCTTACCCTCAGTGTAAGCAGTAGGGTCGCCTATTTTCCCAGCAACTTCTTCAGCAGGCTTGATGACATCAATTTCCAAAATGATTACCACCCGACTGTAATGAGTCATCTCCATTAACAACAGAAAATAGCCTCATATGCATCTTTGATATCTCCTCATGTTTAGCTGTCCAAAACACTTTTCAAGCTTACAGTAAATACAAATATTGTATTAGCACAATCTTTTGACACTTTAGTCTCTCCAGTCTAGTTCATGAAGTAAAGAAATGTACAGACAAACCACATACCGTCCATCCTTCAGTATGTTGGTCACATGCCTCTTCAGAACACAGATGCAGTTGGGGGCCAGTCTGTTCTCCTCTGCCAGGCAGTTCAGCTGAGTGGAAAGCATGAAGGCTGCAGAGATCCAGAGAGATGAGGAGAGAATGAGACAGGATCCCACCCAGCATGATTCAAATAAGTGGCTCTTGAGAATAACCACTCCTATAAGCAGCCATTGTCTTTAACCCAACCATGCCCGTCCAACATTCAGTGTTAAATAGAAAAAAAAAAAAGTACAGAAAAATATTAACTTACTGTCTTAATTTTCACAATCAAGTAAATAGTGGTTAATAAATCATACAGTGAGGTCTTTATCCGTCCCAACAAACACTACACTCTGCTTGCTCTCTGCAATGACCTGTTGTTCATATGTTTTTGTTTGTTGTGGATCCAAACTTGCTCTTCTGTATTTATATAACAGTTTTGTGTGTAAAAATTAAGATGTACTATTTTGAATCTTTAGAGTGGATGGGACAATTTGGCCAGAGGACACATAAGGCACTCTACTATATTTATATATTTAAAAAAAAAAAACAACAACTTACAGGACAGAGTGTGGCGTCCATCACTCATCATCACCCGAAAGCGAGCCGGGCCGTTTCCCCCATCAATCTTGCGAATGTTCTGAAAGGTTGTATACAAGTGCCACTGTTCAACATATTTAAAGAACAATGTTTGTCTGATCATGTGATTCTGCATCTTATGACAGCATTCCTTTAATTAGTTTTTTGTATGGTATGAACAAAAATTGGACAAAAAGTTATCACCTGCATTATTATTTTCTTTAGTAAATAAAACTCAACACAAGCTCTGCTACTCACACATCTGAGCAGCATCATGTTAAAAACCATTTCCTGGAATCACCCTGTTGAATATGTGCAGTGTAGCACCCACCCTTAACCAGCTGCTCACTATCACATATTGTAGTATTTTGATGTAAAAGTTGTATGTCACGACCTGAAATGCATCAGAAGCTGTTCTACCCTGAAGAAAATAAGTAATGCGGCTTTGTTTTGCGGAATGCTTACTAAATCCGATTCACACAATTCAATTATTTGTGCACTTTATATAATTGTTACCAAATACAGGAACAGTTAGGTCACTTGGTCAGCAGTGATGAAACCAAGTGGCTAACCGTTGAAGAAAGACAGTGTGATGCTGTTTTTTTTCTCTTTGTTAATTACTCACCACCAACTGAAGCACTGCGTCGTTGCCACCGGTGCCATTTGAAAGAGACTGTTGACACACATCGTTAGTTAGCGTCAAACCATTTGTTGTCAAATTTGATATTTTGCATAATGTTTCACGTGTAAACATTTTGCAAATTACTCTTTTACCCCAAAGCTAAATTAACATTCATGTCTCAAGTTAACGCTGGAGTTCAATTTCGACCGTGTCAGACCACACACTGTTTGCTAAAGTTACTATTTTTTTTAAAAAAGACATAGAAGTGAACGACACAGCTGCTGTTTCGTCTTTATATTACATAAAGTAGGGAAGTAAACAAATTGGCTTGACTGTTGGCTACTCCAGCTAAACAAAGACTGTACATCAAAAGTGCAACAAACCATCTTTATTTTTTGTTTTTCGTCATAAAAAAATCACGTTTTAGCTCATTAGTCTTACTGCAGATAACCTTACCTCTATCGCACCCTCTGAGAGCTTCGTCATGTCTGTGAAAAGATTATTCAGTGCCAAAAGGAAAAGTTTACTGAAATATTCAACTAGCTCCTTCCAGCTACAGCACTCTATGAATTGTGTCAGTGGCGCCAACAGCTTGGACAAACGCGCCAAGCGACGTAAGTGCTACTCCAGTTTCCGTTTCCGTTCACGGATCTGACGTCAGTTTGTATTCTGTTAGCACCGTTGGTCTAATGGCCTGATTAAGCCTGTAAAACTGACCGGAGACCAGCTGCACGAAAGTCAGCGCCAAACATTACGTGACGTCAGGGATAATACTACGATGCGTTCAAAGCCACAGGGAAAAGATTTTAGACTCCACTCGAGCTCATTTTGGAAAGAATATAAACAAAACCATAGATGTCTGTGTATTGTAAAATATACATAAAATATACAATTATTGAGTTACTTTTCCTGAAGTTATGAAATATTGGATGCCTTTTCAGTGTAGCAATTGAACTAATACACACCCAATGACTATTCATAGACATGCTCCTTAATTTTTATATATCACAAATAAAACTTCTTTTGTTTCAGTGTGGAAACAGGAATTTAGTGGTTATGAGCAATAGATTGATAACAATCATAAAAGATATATCATAATTACTACAGAAAAGGAATTTGGTTACTTTGCAGTCAGTCATTATGAGCCAAAGACAAGGAGAAAACCAAATACCACTTAGTCACTTGCAAAAGTAGAGACAAAGGCAAACTTATTAGTTACAACCACAGATAACTGGCATTTGACTGGAATTACCCATCTAAAAACGTTAGATTACAAATTGTTCTCTACAGTTGACCTTTGTATTATCTTTTCCCAGTTTTTGTGAATGTGTTAATTTGCGTGCTTTAGCTAGCAGCTACAGCCAATTTTTCCATTCAAGTTATTTTACAGTAAAACTCATAACCGTCACAAGTGATCCAGATCGATTCAGTTTATTATGCCATTAGATAACATCTTTCAAATTCAAACTACATACACACTGATGCTGTAATGCTCTGACATTACACCAGATTAGTTTGGCTTTACATGTTGACACCTTGAAAAATGTATGTATTATCAAATAAAAGATGAACAGATGTTTTACTATGGGTATAAACCATTTCTTGTATCTAATTGTAGTTTTAATAATTACTTGACCAGGATGACATGTCATCTAATGCAGCAACACTATAATTATTTTTAATAGAGTATTTGACTTTTAAAGGGGATACTGAGGTCCTCAGTATGTTTATTGTGTAATGAAATAAAGAAACAAACATTTTTTCACACAGATCCAGCTAAGTGATAATGTACATTTAATCTGTACAATCATAAAGGTCTTGGTCTGAGTTTCCTTGGGACAGCCGGGCAGGTTATTAGTCCCTACTTAGGTGGGCCTCCAAATGTGCCATCATGGTTCTTGTCAATTGGAAATCCCACTTTATCTTTGCTTCCAAGATCTCCCCCCCTCTGCATGATAGGAGCTCCTGGATTAGGGTTGGTGATGATACCCATGAAGATTGGTACTTGAGTCATATCATCCATTAGGGCAAAGAAGAAGGGTTGGCTGAGGTGGAAAACAGGGTTGGATGCACGTGAGATGACCACAGCGGTGGCTGCAGCAGCCTCTGCACCCTCCTCATTTATCTCCATGCTGGACTTATGTATCACACTGGACACCACCAGGGGGCCATCTGCTATATTAGCCAAGTTGGGATTGGAAAACATTTGTCCCAGGCCTAACAAAGAGAAGAAAGCAGAGGCTTACCTCACAGGATTAATTTGATTTTTAGTCTGTGGCAGGCTGAACATTTTTGATCAGTGGTTAAGAAAACAAACAAACAAACAAACAAACAAAACAAAACAAAACAAAAAACACTGCAACAGAGCCCGCCTGAAAAAAAAAAAGTCTTACCCAATTTGATAAAAACATCCTTTAACTCTTGAGCATACTCCAGGTTGAATTTGGGGACTTTAACTTGAACAGCCCTCTCCTTGGGAAGACGATTATACAGGTCCGAGATATTCAGCTTTTCAGAAAGTGAAGACACATTTACCTGGCCGGACAAAGGCATGACCACCAACAAGCTCATGGCATTCTGGAATGGGAAGCTCGCCACCTGCACAGGGAGAAGAAATGCAGTTCTGTCAGGGATTAAAGTGTCCTTCTAAACTACATGTTCGATAAGATACTGATATATTTTGGGAACAGTGGTGAAACCTTTTAAGACTAATAGGAACTGTATTTCACCTGAGCCTCCAGGTCACTGTCAATAAATAAACTCAAGGGATGTTTGGCATCTTCCATCACTTCAACATCAACCATGTGCTTGTCGTCAAGGTAGAAGACACCTCTGGAGGTAAAGCGTGGGTCAAATCGAGCTTTCCATTCTCCTGTGGGAAGCATTGAAAAGGGGTCTCAGTTTTAATCAGCAACTTAACTCAAACACACAGAAGCTTATGACAAAAGAACAGAGGAATTTATTGATTATTTTGAAATTAATATTCCCTACAACCATAATATCTTAGAAAAGAGGCAGAATCATATGAATATGATAAAATTTCACTTCTCATTCACCTTTGAAATGGACAGCATTAATAAGCATGAGGAGCAGATTGGGTGGCAAAGCAGACAGGAAGTCAGTCATCTTTCCTTGCGTTGCCTTCTCTACCCAGTCATTTATCTGCTGCAAACTCTCCAACACTGCTGGTTCTGAGTCATATAACCGCTGGGACTCATTGACAAAGTCTTGCTTTGGCTCAAACCCTACAACACACAATAAACACACACTTTCTCAGACCCTGTTTCTCTTAAACCTACTCTTTTGGTCAGCACAAATAAGTAAAAAGATAGTTTCTGAAAGCAGGAGCTATGCAGTCTCAACTTTTAGTATAGTTAAAAATAGTTTTGACAAAAGCTATGTTCTTTTCAGGAGTAACCTTGGCGCAGGAAGATACGTGTGGCAATTTGCAAGTCATTGTTTTGGAGCAGCTCTAAGACATTATGCAGAGACTTGTGGTAGCAGGGGAGAGTGTTTTCATGGAGATGATGCATCAGCAGCTCCTCTGTCTCATTTACTGCACCTGTAAAGAAGAGGGGGGCAATAATTGGATGAGAACAGTGACAGTCTCAAGACGGCTATAAACAAGGGCAAGTTGCTGACACAATTCATCAGGTGTGGTAATTACACGCATGTAGTACACAAGCTGAAGCAGAACATCCATACCCAAAGCCAGCTGGGAGAGGGCTAGTGATATGCTGAACGGAGATATGATGACATTTGGCTGCTCTGTCGTTGTCTCCAGGTTCTGCAGCAGCTGCACACCCAGTTTCTGAATACCAGCAGCAATGGCCTCCCTTGACTCTGGGTTTCGGTTGGTAGACAGACAACCCTCATCTTGCTCTTCCTCTGATGAACCCCCACTGGGCCTGCTAGTTATGGTTGTTGCAATTACAGTTGCTTGTGTGGGATCTGCAATTTCTGCTTGTGTTGCACTTTCATTTTCTACTTTCTAAAGGCAGAAATAGGAGAAAATGTTCAGCACAAGGACCCATTCTCCAAACTGTGAATTAAATATGACCAGAACACTGCTGTGATGCAACAAGCACAATGAGAGAAAACTCCTTCCATTCAAACTTTTCTAATTTGGCTCTAACCTCTCTGGGGTGGCTGGGCATCAATGGAATAAGAGGCACCAAGGGGACTAACTCATCTTCTGCCACCTCAGCATTCTGTTGAGCAGAAAGGTAGTGTAAAACCATCTATACAGCCATTATATAATCAGCACAGATTATAATCATCAGGTATAATCTGAAAAGTGATTTATTAGTGCTTTACAGTGACTCCTTGGCTGCAGAGACAGATCAACAGGAGTGTCAGACGGAGGTCCATGTCCTTACAACGTAACTGTAGAAAAGAGAAATTATGTTGTCTGAAAAAAGTCTGACCTGCTCGCTCTTGTGAAGCAATAAATATACCTTTCGTTTGAAATCTTTAGCCTATTGTGCAATAAATCAATGTCCCCCTTTAGACCACATAAAACATAACATTCTCACCTTTATTTTAAAAATTGTCCCTTTACTATATAGTCTGCAGGTCTTAAACACTTTCTCTTTACTTAGTCGCCCTCTCTGTTAAAGGATCATCTGGAAAGGTGCCTAAAACATAAAAGATACTTATTGTAGACCATGTACCAAGAATGTCACAGTTAAAGTGTGAGATTTCAGCAGTTACCCAGGCTGTCTTGAAGCACATCGTAATATTGGAGATTTATAATTTAATAAAACAGACAGAAAGTCCACCTGTCTTGGTTGAGACAACTTTTAGTACCAGTGCATTGTGGTGTCTGCCTGCCTGTGGTGTCTCAAGATAAAATGTCTAAGTATTAACTGATACAGTGTCAAAGCCCCTTTTGCAGACTTCACTCAAACATGAAAATACATGAATAACTTAGCAATATTGAGTATATTCCACCAAACTATTCAAATGTATAATAGTACCCCAATAATTTTATTCAAGTAAATTTGATCTTACCTTAAATTTAAATAGAAAAAAAAACTTGCTGCCTTGTCCAAAAAAGGAGCGACTGACTGTGGATGGCAGAATTCCTGAGAGAAAAAGATTGGCACTTGCTCAGCAAACAGTTAAATATCAACTTACATTGATTGGGGCCTCATTTAAACCACTATTTGTTTGTAAATGTAGCTACTGAGACTCTTCCAGGGTTAAATATTGAAGCCTGACACGCTTAACTATTTTGCATGTCAATGGGCAGGTGATAAAATCATGACATAACTAAATCTTTGACAGGAAACATGACAGATTAATTGCAAAACTGTGGTTAATCCAGATGTCTGTGGGTAAACAAACACAACTTGCTGACTCCAGAGTTATTGATGTCAGACAACACAAGCCAACATTTCCCAGAAACCCCTGGCTTTGATATACTACAATTTCAACAAAACTGACAGCAACACTTGACTGCTTGTTCTAAAAATCAGTTATATGTTGTGACCAATAATATTTTTAAGAGACTCAAAAAAATAGAGAAGAAAGGAAACTTATTCAGCTGATTCGCTCACATTTCACCGCTAAGCAAAGGAGATCTTCTAGATCACATGAGTCATTTGCAAACATAAGAGGGGACTTTGTCCAATCTGAACGCAAGTGACTCAGTGAAGATTATAAGGCAGGGGAGTCATGATGAATCCAGGTGAATCACACAGAACAACTGGAACACAGAGACCATGGAAGTAATTTTTATTAATCCAGTTAATAAATAAGCTTTTTCATGGACTTCTCTTAAAATGTTCGCAGAGATTCTGGATCAGGTGTTTCAACATCAGTCGTGCAATTACAAATGTTCTTTTTTAAAACCAAGTTTTTTTTTTTTTTAGGATTGAACTTTCGCTCCAGGTTTACAAAAAACAAAAAATATCAAAAAGTGTAGCACACTTGTCAGAGCATTTTGAGCTTTGGGCAAATAATTAGAAAAGTAGGCAAAGTGTTTTACAGCATGACAGTGATAAAATCATACAAAGAGCAAAGCTTTGATTGGTGGATAATACTGGGCTTTGAAAACATGTTTAGATCCATTAAGAGTTTAATGCAAAGTGGGCTTGATTTAAGGAAAAAAAATCTCTACTATACATTAATTTGCATTACACAATAAGTAGCGAGTTAAATCACATTTTTATTGATGTATAACTTTCATATGCAGTAACATATAAATGTTAAAATACAAAAACTGTTTATCTTGGCATTGACTATGACTATGTTAGCTTTTGTAGTCACAGATTAGAAAGTTGTGAGTCTACTAACTGGCAAACCCAGTCAAAGT